CTAGATTTATATATATAAAGTCAGCTGGATCACCTAGATTTATTCCAATTCTGATTAGTTTTATTCATATATTGTGTTTGATGTATTTAAGTCATCTTTAAATTTTCAACATAATATTAAAAGTAATGAGAAATCTTCAAAGATAAAATTTCTCCATTTCTGATCACATTTCAACAAATTATTTTACAAGAGAAACGTCATTAATTTTAAGACTCAAAACATACCTGACATCTCTATGTTAAAATTATATGAATTAATTTCCCTCATCTATTTTCACACCTCCAAGTGATTAAAATAATAAACTGATGATTAATCTGACAAAAAATTATCAATGGTACTTCAAAAATCTGTCATATTCAATTTAATTAATTCAATTAATGTAATTGACAGTTGCAATAACTTCTCAGTTGATCAACTGTCAATTATATTAGCCATATGTACATGTTACCAAACTGTTTGACTCATTTTTAATCTTAATAAGCATTTTTAGTTTGGACATTTTTTACACTATAAATCATACAAGTGTTTACCATTAAAAGCATTTCCATTTTTTGACATATTTTACACCATAAATTCAGCAATTTTTTTTGGAAAGGGATTTGTTCAATTTGAATTTATTTTAAAATATCTAATCAATATTACTAAGTGAAATGCCTTTATCAGGTGACCTTACCATAAATTGACTATGAGGTCTGTCTGAGAATCAGGTGACTTTACCATAAATTTGACTAAGGTCTGTCTGAGCATCAGGTGACTTTACCCTAACTTTGACTAAGGTCTGTCTGATCGTCAGGTGACTTTACCCTAACTTTGACTAAGGTCTGTCTGAGCAGTAAGGTGACTTTACACTAATTTTGACTAAGCTCTGTCTGAGCGTCAGGTGACTTTACCCTAAATTTGACTAAGGTCTGTCTGAGCATCAGGTGACTTTACCCTTTACCCTAATTTTGACTAAGGTCTGTCTGAGCATCAGGTGACTTTACCCTAACTTTGACTAAGGTCTGCCTGAGCATCGGGTGACTTTACCCTAAATTTGACTAAGGTCTGTCTTAGCATCAGGTGACTTTACCCTAATTTTGATTAAGGTCTGTCTGAGCATCAGGTGAATTTACCCTAACTTTGACTAAGGTCTGTCTGAGCAGTAAGGTGACTTTACCCTAACTTTGACTTAGTAGATATAAGAAGATGTGGTATGAGTGCCAATGAGACAACTCTCCATCCAAGTCACAATTTGTAAAAGTAAATGTCTGAGCAGTAAGTGTTTTAACAGCAGACATTTTCTCTTAATAAAAATGAAATTTATTTGACCGCTTGAAAAAACTTGCTTATATGTAAAAGCAAGGTCACTGCTGTGCATTAAAATAAATTTTACTTGGACACAAAATACATATGGCAGAGCCAGGCAGACCATTTCAAATGAAAAACAGATGTAAAAAATCACCTAAAAATATAAAACATTAAGCAGCTTCTTTAGTTATTTACTAAAAGGACAAACAAAAACAAAAACACAGCTTACTAATTTCATAGTTTATAAAGCAATCAAGGAGATTTTATTTTAAATGCGATACAAAAAATACTTTTCCTGTATTACATACAATTTACTAGTAAATAGTATAAAATAATAGACAGTTCTATTTTCTCAGAATAAGATGCTGGTAGTACACACAGGTAGATGCAAAATAAACAAAATTTCAAAAACATTTTGCCGAAATGTATTCAACTTTTTTTTTTCAAAATACAAACTATATCTTACCATTCTTCATTCTCAGTCTCTTTTCAATTTGTATTTTAAAGTTCATAAAAATTTCCTAGAACTATCATGATCTCAGGTGTAAGGAATTTTTCCTTTCAATTTGTTTTTTAAATTCATAAAAAATTTTCCTAGAACTATCATGATCTCAGGTGTAGGGAATGTTTGTAACTCAATATTAGTATACATATATATATTTATTTTTCTTATAAGTTTAGTAAATAAACGATTTTTAAAGCAGATAACCTTGAGGGCATTCCGGTGTTATGTTGCCGCAGACATTTCTACCCATGTGACTTGCGTTTTTTGACTAATAACCGAACGTATTTCGTATAAATATGCGGATATTATCGAGTGCAAAATAACATTCCTTATTGCTTGCTATAAATTCATTTCTTCAATGAATACTCATGAAAATATTTTTTAAGAACATAAATAAATATTATGAAAATGTTTTGTCGTGAGAAATATATATATACAAGTAAAAAAATCATTAATATCTATGCAAACGTACCGAAAAATTGTGTTTGCGGATGAATATCTCTTATCGCTTGTTATATATTAATTTCATCAATACATATTCATTAGCGGGAGAAATATGAATGCCTACTCAAATCAAACCTATTAGAAAAACGAATTATTACAGAAGAGTGTCCACCATGCAATTGCACTGCACTATCATTAGAATAGTAGAATAGCATGATGGTATAAATGGATGAAAATTTGCCGGTAGAGTTATTAAGATGAACTGCTATATATATATAACTGTTATACAAATATTAATATAATATATAACAACAAACCAGATTAATTATACTGATAAAAAATGATTGTCCCATGATTATATCACTACAACATAATAGTTATTACGGTGAGGTTGAATTCTCTGTCATTTATTCATCATCCACACAGGAACTTGTCTCAGAAAAAAAAATCTATGTACCTTAACCTAACTTTCAGGTTATAGAGATATTTTATTTTTTCTGAGACAAGTGCCTGTGACTATCCACCAGAACTTGCGGTCATCCGATGTTCAGTACTTCAGTACTTTGATTAAACTTGTCATATTCCAAAAAAATTATTATTCATCTCTTTCAAGGTAAATCACCTCTTACAAGGAATAAGGTAAGAAATTTATTGAAATCCCAAGGACAAACTTTACGTCATCTACCATTTCAAATAAGCACTTTAAACTTATAAACCCTTTCATAAGTATATAATAGACATGGCTTTGATTTGTTTAAGCATGAACAGGTATTCAATCCAGAAGAAAAGTCCAAGGTAATACTCTGACGTAAGTCATAAGTTCAAGTCATATCAAATGCGTTAAACTAAATTCATTATCTTATTCATGTATGATTAAACTAGGTCACATTTTTGCATAATTGATTTATAACCTACAATTTATTCTTCTAAAGAACAGAATATATATCTTATTTCAACAGATGATTTGATAAGTAAATTGTAGACAATAAATCCCAATAACCACCATTATGTTTGGTACATTTTCATTGGTTTCATTAGTAATGGTAGAATGCTTCACATATTTCATGCGCAAATTATAATTTGATTCTGATCAAAGGGGGCTGAGGGGGTCCTAGACGTACTTATTGATTCTGGGAACTGATCAAAGGGGGCTGAGGGGTCCAAGACGCACTTATTGCAAAATTGTTTTTGTTTTTTTGTACATTTGTCTGATTTTTAACTGCCCTAACCCGATCATTTTTAAAAGGGCCCCTCCAACCCTCCCCCTTTTTGTAAATCCTGGATCTGCTATGGAAATCAATGTCAATATTCTGATACATATAAATACTTGAACTGCAAATTAACCTCAAAACTGCAACTTTTATCAATCAGATCAAAATTATTACCAATGAATTCAAATAATTCCATGGTATTTCCGTTAGTTCTTTGGTGTTGATATATATATATATAAACACAGGAGCAATGTAAAGTTGGTTGAATAAAACCAATGATTGGTAGATATGTCTGATTAAGTTCAAATAAACTGACAATACTGTTTATATGATATCCCCTTACTTGTTTTCTTTATTCCAGTCTAGTTTTATCTAATCTTTCACAAGTTATCTTGAAATATAGATACTTAATTATAAAATTGAAGTGGCCAATTACTCAAATATCTATCCTATAAAGGAACTAACTTTCTGATTTGTTTAGGAATAGGAAGCTCAATCTGAGTGTGCAATAGTTTAGACAGTACAAGTTGTTTTCAAATTTTGAAGTTCCCTCTAACAATCATAAACTTTGTTGATGTTTATTTGCAAATACATTTTGTATGCCCTTTTACTCTAGTAAAAAGTAAGTCAAGGAGCTCATATTTTACTTGAACCTATCAGTATTAAATACATTTGAACTTTTCTAATGAAAAACTTCTTTTCCTTATGAATCTTGGTTACTTAATATAAGACTTTTAACTTGAATCTTCATCTATAGTTGGTTTAAAATAAAAGATATGGCCGTGAATTTCAACTTTATCATAAAATATCAAAAAGGCCATAACTAGGTTCATAAATGGGTTGAACCCTACTGCTTGGTTAACCAAATCTCTTCAAAAGAGTATATTATAGGCTCCAAAGTCAGCACATATTTGAAAAAAATTGTCAAATTATGATCCAAAATCTTCTTTAACCAAAAGATGCCAATTATGATATTGAATCCCTAGACCCCAAAAAAATCTGGATCAGAGGTTGAGGGCAAAGTAAATTATGCCAAATAATGTTATGAATAGTGGAAATTGGACCAATACTGAAGTTATAATATAAATAATGGATAATTAAGGGTTTACTACTTCGTAATTTATGATGTGATGTGCCAATAAGAAGTTATTATGTATTAACAATATTATAGCAACTATTTCTATGTGAAATTTGTAGTATTTTAGTCTGATTAAAAAACTCAAAATCTTAGGGCCAATTTTATCCCTTCGTGAACTTACTCCTTAATTATCCAATATCAGTTTTCATGACTACTACTCGTGGGCATAACTAGCATATAAAAATCTATTAAGAATATTACCTAAAACCTTATATCTTATCATTTCGTTCTATCATTTTCCCCTTTCTATTCCTTAGCCATATATATATATATTTTGTAGTTTTTCTAGCTGGGACTTTTTTTCTCAAATCTTTATCACATATAAATTTTTTTTTATTTTTATTTTTTAAAAACAAACATTTTTATGGTAATTATTATCAAATATAATTTGAAGTATAAATAATTCTCAACTCACCATTGGACACATGTTGATTTTTATCCAAGTTATTTTTTTTTAGTCTATGGGAGATAACTCTATTGACATCTTAACATCCACATTTCTCCAGCAAATTAAGATAAAAGTGCATACATACAAGACAATTAAATCTGGCCTCAGGTAATTCAATATGAATAATCAATGTATGTACATAAATTATGGATAATCAATTACTGCAGTTTTTAAATAGTTTGTGTCACAAATCCAAATATGCTGAAGCAATTATTAAAGAATCACTCTGAACTATTCAAAATCAAAAGTTTCTCTACAGATAATTCTATCTTTCTTTTCACAACAATTATTCCAACATCACCACACTTTAAACATAACACATATATGTCTTCATTGAAAAGTTTGTCAATGCACTACACAATATATATCCTTTTCTTCAAACAATAGAATTTTAATAACTACTCGATTTAATCATTAATCCCTAAATGTCCACTTATACTGAGGCAAATCCATTTACAACTGTAGGTCAAACTTTAATAATCCAAAAATCAATGAATATCAAAGAAAACTGAATTGCTTTAAAGTAGAACACATAAAGTTTAACAACTAGGACTCATGGCCTCAACATATTTTCTAAACTGTCAAACATGACCAAAACATCAAACAATACATTGTAGTTACACCTGTTAGAAAATCCAATTAACACCTTCACAATTATTTATGACAAACGAAAAAAATCTCTTTCATTCTTTGTTTAAGAATATGACACGTTTTTCCCACACTTTCAGGAATGGTAATTTTCTTCCAGGATGGATTAATCTGCTTCCAAGAATAAGTTTAATTTAATATATATCTGTATTGTAAATGGTAAACTCCATGTCGTATCAAATGTCTTGGATTCCTTTTTTTTTAATTGACTTAACTTATGTATTTAAAGCTCCAAGTCAACAATACAATAACGAACTCATATATGATACCTTATAAAATTGTTCCACAACACAACACATAAAAAAAAAAAAACGTTTATGTGTCAACAAGTTTTGCTTTTATTTCAGCCGTAAATCACAGTATGCCTAATTAAATCGCAACAAAAAGAATTCACAAATGTAAATAGTCACAAAATATCATCCCTCTAAAACCTCTTACCATTCAGTGTATATTAAACTTTCCATACAAGTAAATAAATCTATCTATTCATAACACAACAAAATGATTATTTATTGCCAAACATTGCCAAACATTGATTTCATTCTTTAAACCACACAACAGGTAAAGAAATATACATGTCACCATTAAAGCTTACAGCTCTATTCAAATGTCTCATTAAAAGCATTTAAAATCATATGAAAAATCAAGTCCCAAGGAACTGCATCAGAAAGTCATCTGTTGACAATGAGGACTAAAAGTCAGTACAGAAATTAAGTGTTGTTATGTTTAAGTTTATACAACTAAACCTTACAGCCTTCTGATAAGATAAACTGTTAACTACGTTATGATTAAATGAGGTTCAAAAAGGTCATACCTTTCAATCATTTCCTTCAGGCGAACAAAACAAAAATAAATAATAAAAAAACTTAATTTCTAAGTTGTGTTTATTTGTATGTTTTAGTTGACATTGCTAATCTTGTGTAAAATACAACAGAAAAGTCCCTTGTGTTAATTAAATGTATTTATTTATGAATAAGAATATGTAGGAAACATTTTTTTCTGTCCAATCGAATTACTGAATGTACAAAAGAGTGCACTTACAATGTCAAGTCTTGTTGACACATTGTACTAAAATGTACAATAACCACACATTAAACATGCTACAATGTACTTTATTATCTAACAACAAAACATTTCATACTGTCAGTGATTGCAACTTTCTCTTTCTAAAATAGTGTCAGAGGCTGTTGATTGCTTACTTACTCCTTACTTACATGTTGTCACCGACTCAAGAGCAATTCAGAGCTTTTGTTTATGGGTGTTGAGAGAATGCTTATTGCCAAAAGCAAGGGAGGTTATTCATCTTCTAAACATAAACATCTCTGTTGTTATACAAAACATCTAATACATAAAACAAAACATTAAAATCAATATCCATGTCAAGGCATTTATCAGAAAATTCAATTGTCAATCAGAGTATCTAATTGTTCCATTAATTATTTAATTTAAGATCTTATCCTTAGTCTGTCCAGTGCTGATCTTTTTAGCTGTTCACAGTGTTTATCTAATAATTAGTAAGAAAATAGACAAAAATGTAAAGAAAATTGGTAAAATTTGTCATTTCAAGGAGAAAAGTTGGGAAGGAGTAGATTGACAGTTTTGGTCATTGTATTTATTTGTAAACCTTCTTTTGCTGTACAGGTTCTCCCTATCTATTAAAGTTTTTTAACATAATTGCCAAAAACAATTGGGTAAAATTTTATTGACGACAATAACTCCTTTCCAGAGTCAATTGAATATAATGAAGTACATAGGTACTACTAGGCTATGATAAGTCACATGCATAGGTATAAGTCATTGTGGTACTTCTTGATTTATAGTACATGAAGTGCAAAAGAGTTCAATAAATATTACTCTTTAGAACATCTTATTCCATATATAGTGCACTATTTTTGTCGAGCTTGCAAAATTAATTTCGCGAAAGCAAGACAACTGATCCTAGATGTCGTCGTCTGCATTGGGAGGGTCAACATTGAGATTCAGTCTGGGGTTAAATTTTTTTTTTACATCAATAACTTTATTAAACATACATAGAGTTTTATGAAATTGGGATAGAAGCTTTTTTATGACCAAAATACAGTATCCAGGGTAAAATTTTGAAAATATTTATTTTCATTTTTCCGTATTTTACTAATAAATGGATTTAGTTATTTTTACAGTTAACTTCAGATTTTGTCTGAAGTTAAAGTTTTTCAGTCATCAATAACTTTGTTAAACCTTCATGGAATCTTATGAAATTTGAAAAAGAAGCCCAAGAAATTTAGAGAAGAAAATGAGGAAAAAATAAAGACCAGAGAAAAAAAATGACCTAAACTTATAACTGAATACAGAAATGAAGACCCCTCCCCCACATTAAGAACCTCTTTCATAGTCCAATCACTGAATATATAAATGAAGACCCCTCCCCCACATTAAGACTCTCTTTCATAGTCCAATCACTGAATATAGAAATGAAGACCCCTCCCCCACATTAAGACTCTCTTTTATAGTCCAATCACTGAATATAGAAATGAAGACCCCTCCCCTACATTAAGACTCTCTTTCATAGTCCAATCAATGAATTTAGAAATGAAGACCCCTCCCCCACATTAAGACCCTTTTCATAGTCCAATCACTGAATATAGAAATGAAGACACCTCCCCCACATTAAGACCCTCTTTCATAGTCCAATCACTGAATATAGAAATGAAGACCCCTCCCCCACATTAAGACCCTCTTTCATAGTCCAATCACTGAATATAGAAATGAAGACACCTCCCCCACATTAAGACCCTTTTTCATAGTCCAATCGCTGAATATATTGTCTGCTATTATGTAAATAAAATTGAGAATGGAAATGGGGAATGTGTCAAAGGGACAACAACCCGACCAAAGAGCAGAAAACAGCCCAAGGCCACCAACTAACTGAATACATAGCATTTTGAAGATGATATTGTTGAAAACAATGCATATCCTAGTGTAAAACACAGAATACATCATGAAATAGACTTTATATATGTGTCATTTGGTCTCTTGTGGAGAGTTGTCTCATTGGCAATCATACCACATCTTCTTATTTATATTTATGAAGAGGCGTTAATTATTAAATAAGTAAGTTCAAGTGTAAATTATAATTCACTGCTTGCTCAAATGTAAAAATAACTGATTAATTTTCATTGTGTAAATTGTTTTTTGTAGTGTTAATCACTAATTGCATTATTTCATGGTACAAATCATGATATATACTACCTATCATAGTAAACAAGAGTGCATACGCTGAAATGTCTCCCCTTCTTTACTGACCATTGATTTTATGTTGATAGTCCTTAATATAAAGCTTTACTAAAAGTATCACATAAACTTAAGATGATCCAAGTAAATGAGGTCAAGGTCAGATAAACCAAACCGGAAGTACATGTACACCTAACAATCATTCAATACACCAAATATAGTTGACCTATTGCTTATAGTTTCTAAGAAACAGACTTAAACAGGAAAACTAAACATTGACCAATGAACCATGAAAATAAGGTCAAGGTCAGATGAACCATGCCAGACAGACATGTACACCTGACAATCAATCTATGCATCAAATAGTTGACCTATTGCTTATAGTATCTAAGAAACAAACTTAACCATGAAAACTTAACATTGACCAGTGAACAATGAAAATGAGGTCAAGGTCAGATGATACCTGCCAGACAGACATATACACCTTACAATCATTCCATACAACAAATATAGTTGACCTATTGGTTATAGTTTAAGAAAAACAGACCAAAACACAAAAACTAAACACTGAGCAATAAACCGTTATAATGAGGCCAAGGTCAAATAAAACTTACCAGACTGACATGTACATTGCAAAATATTTCCATACACCAAATATAGTTGACCTATTGCTTATAGTTTTAGAAAAAAAGACCAAAACACAAAAACTGAACTTTAACCACTGAACCATGAAAAGAGGTCAAGGTCAGATGACACCTGCCAGTTGGACATGTACACCTTACAATCATTCCGTACACCAAATATAGAAGACCTATTGCTTATAGTATCTGATATATGGACTTAACCACAAAAACTTAACCTTGTTCACCGAGCCATGAAATGAGGTCGAGGTCAGATGAAAACTGTCTGACAGGCATGAGGACCTTGCAAGGTAGGCACATATCAAATATAGTTATCCTATTATTCATAATAAGAGAGAAATTAACATTACAAAAATCTTAACTTTTTCAAGTAGTCACTGAACCATGATCACTATCCCTATGTCGAGCTTTCTGCGACAAAAGTCGCAGGCTCGACCAAAAATGAATCGATTACTCAATAAACTGTCCTCCATTTTGTAATCACCAAATGTGACTTGTTTTGATATAACACAATTATAAGCCATTGAACCTTCTACCTGTGATGGTGTAAATCACAGAAAAAAAAACTGCCAATCATTGTGCTTATAAACGATTATAATGTTTGCCGTGATGTAAATTGATGATACAATTTGTTCATGGATAAATCAAATGAACACACTGTTACTTAGAGCATAAATGAAAAATAAGATCATTATGAAAGTCAGTTGTATCTTTTGATGTTGATCCCCCTTTTGACTTATTTGAATTATTACAATGGCATTGACCATTCTCTATTCTCAGTACAAAGTTAACTTTGTATTATTAACTAATAAAATAAGTACTTTCAACATGTCTACAGTACAGTTATCATGTTACACACTGTGTGTCATCAACATTACAAATGCGCTAGGTATATCTTATTTCTCAAATTAAACTTTCAAGTGAAAATGTAATATAATATCGTGTTATCTGTGATGGAAATTAATGTATTTAGTGTTATTGTATCTCTTCCGACAAAAATTAATTGATTGATTTTTGCTTACTTAATGTCCAGTGGCAATCATTTTAGGGATATTCAGGACGAGAAGCCATAAACAGTAAATGCAATGGGTAGGTTCTACAAGGTAGGCCAAACTGGATGGAGTGTGGAAAATTTGGACTGTCACTGGAAATAAGGATATGTTCGATAGGGGCAGAAATGTAGCCTTGCAACTAGCCATCTACAGATACTCAGGGGTAACACAATTTTAAAATATTAAGTAGTGATTTCTGATAGTTAAAATAAATTTTAAAAAGAATTTTCAAACTTATCAGGGGAAATAACTCCATCTGATTACATTTACAATGACTGCACTCATTGATTAAAACTTGTTTGTTGAATAACAAGAAAATAAGAACAA